TACCTGATAACTGCATTCACAAGCAATGGGAGACATTCCATGTATCTGACTCCATTAACTAGAAGGAGACGGGAGGGGTGGTATATAGAGTAGTATATGGAAAGCATGAGGAGCCATTTGAAGTCTTTGCTTATTTTTTGTGTAATGGCCTTGGACCAAAGATCTCCCTGGAAAAGAGTTCTTCAAAGGCCAAGGGATTAGCGATAGTACGTCCCATTTAGAGCAGCTTGAGATATGGCAAAACCCCAGACCCCTGTGAGTGGGAGCCTCACTGGATGCAGAATAACAAGAAAAGAACCTTCTCAACTTCAGTTCACAACTTTTTAGCTTAATGCTTTGATTGGTATAGAAGAAGCAAAAGAGTTGTAAAAGAAATTGTTCATGTGACGCTGAGAAAAACATTTTAAAAATCATGAGCACTTGTTTATTTGATCTAATTCTGTGCATCAAAGTGGAGATTTGGGAGTGACTACCCAGCAAACAAATTTAGGTTCTGGGAACGTTAGTTTTTGGTTCCCAGAACGTTCCTAGAACTCTCCCTTAAGGTTAAGGGAACGTTCCCGGAACATTCTCCTTACATTATAAAAATGGAACCTAAAAATAACCTACATGGAACGTTCCTATAACGTTCTTGTTTGGTTCCCAAAAAAATAACCTCATGGGACCATTCAGGAACGTTAAGGGAACGTTCTGTGTTTGCTGGGATATTTATGCATGTGAAATGGAGGCCAGCTAGTAGTGAGCACCTAAATTGGGCACTCCAACCTAAACCTGGTTAGAGCGCCCGACTCTCATGCCGGAGACCCGGGTTGGAGGCGAGTAGGACACGTGTGGAGGGGATCACATTGGTGCCGTGACCCGGATGGGAGTGAGGTTTAGGGGGTGAGTGTAACGGAGGCCAGCTAGTAGTTGCTGTGCAAGTAAACCTCACTCCTCTGATCTCAATAGGCGCACTGTGTGTATATGTAGTTTTATGCGATTTGAGGTATCATTCTAGCCTGACTTTGTCATACTCATTTTCTAATAAGAAAATTTGAAAACATAATCAAAGCCCGCTCCGTTGGGCTTTGATTGTGAGGCGTGTCGTAACCGAACCAGGAAAAAAAAACCCTCTGCACTCAATTGGATAGTCGGTAGACCTACAACCAATCAGGGCAACGCAGTAAGTCAACTCTTTTGCATAGCGCAGTTTTCAACTACAGAACTTACTTATTTTAGATTAGAAGTTAAATAACGAGTGTTGCTTCTTTTACTTACTTCCATGAGTGCGACCAAAGGAGAAACCACAACGACCACAGGCTTTTCATTACGTCCCATCTTTTTAACGACCGCCAGAGCCAGATTAGTTACAAATTTCCCGAATCATGTTGGAAGGACGCCAAAAATATCTTTCCGATCGACAAATGCTTTGATTGCAGTACTCTGTTTGTCTATTAAAATGAATGCGCTGTCGATTTATTTTACAACAGACGTGACAGCGGAATCAATACATCTCAATTCTCCAGCTGCAGTCATCTCTGAGGGAAGACAGTTAAGCGCTCTTTGATAACGTGATGATTACGTCCTTGCAGATCACCTGTCCATCATCGTATAAAGCCCGCCCTGGCAATTTGATTGGCCCGTTCATTTCTTGCCTGATCATAATTACTCCTCAATGGATCGAGTCCAGACCGAACTTCCCGACCAAAAAAATGTTGTGGGCGGAGTTCGGGCTGGCATCCAGGCTAGTATCATTCATGTCTGTAGTGCAAATTGTGCAGGACAAGTACGCACCAAAGTTTAATACTTATTGTTTGGGGATTCTTCATACCCCTAACCCTAAGTTTGAGCAATAACAATTATGATGCTTGCCTAATTATTGGCAATACAACACGATGCCAATGGTCAGCAGGCCCCAGAACTGAAGCAAACCTACAATTTGTTAATGGCTGTGCATTCATCACTCTGCAATCAGTGCTCTTTTCCAAGGACGCTGAAAAAACAACATTTAGAGCCAAATTCTCTTTAAACTGTTCGAGCAAAGGTGGCTCAATCATTACTTTGTAAAAGAGCCACTTAGAAAAGTTAAATACTAAAGAAGAGAACAACAGTAAAAACTTCTCAGCATGTGACTGGTTTTAGTATGTGCTGTTCCTCCTAATGCAACACCACATTAACAAGCCTCTAGCGTCTCGGCTAACGTTTTTTTTTTTGTTCTCTGGCCTATTGTGCATATCATTCCTCTATGGAGAACTGAGAGAGATCGACGGAGTGAAGGATTGCTGGAGGAGAGGATGGGAAAACACAAATCCTGCTGAGTTTATAATGTCTGGGCACTGTCTTTAATGATCCCGTAAAACACGTTTGCAGGGCTTCCTTGGGAGTCGAGCGAGGGCTGGACTGGTGATTACTCCCTCTATCAACGTGCCGAATCTGAGCCGTACACATCAAACGCTCACTCAGCACACATTATCCTGCAAAGAATGTTCTCGGAGAGCTTGAAATTAAAGTCTTACTCTTGCGGGAGACTCACGAATCTGATTGTTGCATTGATTGTGACCTGACTTTTAGATCCTGACTGAATTCAATGCCATTTTCGATTAGTTGTACGTTCACTCGAGCATTTTTGACAGCTATGATTGATTCCTCAAGCCAAAGGCCTTCAAATTGCATATAAGTTATTTTAACCCTTGTGCTGCATTAGATTTTTAACACCGTTGAGTGCATTAAGGACCAAAAATGGCCACATATAAACATTGCCTAAAATATTATATATTATTATTATTTTCCACTTTTACCAAGTTAAATCTTTTAACCAGCATCAGTCCTCATCATAACTACCAAAAATGTATTCAATTTCAGGATTTTAACCCTTTAATTACCAGTTTTGTTTGCGAAACCATCGATTTGTATAAGAGGAAAAACACAAAAATTCAATTATTTTCAATAAACTAAATGCAAAGAGAAAACTTTAGATTTGGATTATCACAGTCCCACTTTGCAAAAAATCCCACTTAGCGCGTTAGAGACCAAAAATGGCCACCTATTAAACATTGCCTATTGCCTAAAACAAGGTGCATTTCCACCCATAGGGAATAAATATGTAGTGACGTCATCTGGTGGAATACACTATATAATGTAAATATAATGCTTTTGCTTCAAAATGAAAGGATGTTTGTGCAAAAATCATGTTTCATGTATTACTGACAGCCTCAGATTTAAACAACGTTTTAATGGGTTTCAATGGGCCATTTTTGGTCTTTATGGTGCTGAGTGTTACTATTTGGTCTACACAGTGTGTGTTATGCATATTTTGCAAAATGGG